GGACACAATGTGGTGGTGGGTGGCTATGGAGGACGTTCAACGCCCCGGCGCCTGCTGCCTCTGCTCTGCCCCATGGTTGTCCAGGTGAACTTGAAGTGGCTGGTCGGCTGACGCAGGGCATCCTTCAGGTTGTGCAGCCTGCCGTGGGTCCCGCTGTGCAGCAGGCGATGCAGCAGGAGGGCATCCAGGAGACGGTGCAGCAGGCAGCGGGGCCCGCTGTGCAGCAGGCGGTACAGCAGGAGCTGCCGCAGGTGATGCAGGGGATCCAGCAGGGGCTGCTGGCGCTGCAGCAGGGGCAGCACGTTCCTTCTGCAAGCTGTAGCAAGGGCTGCAGCAGGGGCAGCAGGGGCTGCAGCAGGGGCAGCAGGGGCTGCAGCAGGGGCAGCAGGAGCTGCAGCAGGGGCAGCAGGAGCTGCGGCAGGGGCAGCAGGAGCTGCAGCAGGGGCAGCAGGAGCTGCGGCAGATGCTAGTCGGCGCCCACAACCTTGCTGCTCGGGTGCACAACCGCGATGCGCGCGAGGACGGCCCGCTGCAGCCGCTGCGCAATGACGTGCATCATCCTGGAGCAGAGTTTGGGGCACTGCCTGCCGCTGGTGTATTTCCGCCGACGACAACTGCGCTGTGGATTGAGGTGGGAGGCGTGTTGGGGAGATGGTGGACTCTTTCAGGCGGGTTCTGGGCTGGCCTCTGCACGCACAGTGCATCGTCGCAGCCTGCCTGGGCCCTTGCCGCCACCCACGCCGGGAAGCTGGCTGGCCGCCATCCCCTTGCCGCGCCTTCAGTGGACTCATGCCCAGGTCGACACCCTGGCCGAGTTTTACGGTGTAGACTTTGGGCAGCAAGGAAGCATGCTGCGTAAGTCGGTCTGCGAGCGTTGCTGTCTTGGTGTGGCGTGGAGGAGGTGCTGCTGCACCATGCCTTACTGCTCGCACTTTTCAACCTGTGTTCGAGGTTGAAAGGCAGGTGCTGCTGGGCATTTTGAGCAGCGCAAACAACGACCTGCTCGCTGCTCTGACCCCACTCGTGAAGCTCAAGCCCTCTCTTACTTTGGCGCCCACAACTTCTGTGCAGTGCCCAACCGCAAGTCCCTCGTAAAAGCATTTATCAAGGGGCCGTGAGCTGCGCCAGAACGGCGCTGGCAATGGCAGAACGGCGGCAGTGGCAGAACGGCGCTGGCAATGCGCAGCCAGCCAACCGGGTGCAGGTGCACCACGGTGAATGGTCCTCTTCGGCCCCTGCACTCAGCACGCTGCAGCTGGCATGATCATGTCAGGCAGGCATACCTGCCTGGCAGCTTACAGTGGTGAACAGCCCTTTTTGCCGTGTGCATATGCCTTGCTTTATGTTATGTCTGCCGTTCCTCTGTGATACCGAGTGCTGAGCTTGCCGCTGATGACCTCTGCATGAGTCCTCTTGCTTTTTCTGCGATGCTTTCATACATGTAGTTGCCTCTGACCGTGCTCGAGGCTGTTTCCTTGATCCTGTTTGCTGTACAGCCTGCCCCAGTGGTTTTGATTACAACCCGCCCACGTGCTATACACCTCAGTTTTGCTTGTTGATTACGAGAGAAGCTGTGGGTAACGATGACAAGCGTAAAGAAGCTGGCGGTAGTATTGCCGCCTCATCCCAGGCAGCAATGCTGGAAGCAGCAGACACAGTGGCAGACGGGGAGGAGGGCTGTTGGCAGAGGTGCTCGCTTGCGACCTGGGCCCGGCATGCACCGAGAAGAGTGCATCGTTGCCATGCTGCTCGCCTGCCCCGCCTTGCCCTGCTGGGCCGTGTTGCATGCCCCCCCGGCATTCCGCCGCCGCTGAAAGAAGGCCCAGGCGCCATCGCTGTTGGGCCGTTGCTGCGAGCGCCCCCCAGTGATCAGGCTGATCACATCACATTCGCCCGAGAGGGAGAGCTCCTGAATTGCCTGGGGTGGGCAGGCTGCTTTGAGCAGACCTAATTCTAGTGCGATTGAGTCCTGGCTGCAGAGGGAGACATGCTGGCGGAAGGCATCGTCGGATCGAGTCGCTGCAGATGCAGAACTTGCCTGAATGCACCCAAGGCACATTGCGCCGCACGGCTGCGATTCTACATCTCTGGTCTTCAGCCGCAATAATGATGTGAACAACTGAAAACGAGGAAGATTGAAGCAGGCCTACGCCTCCCAGGTGGCATCCAGCGCCTTCTGCCGCTCCTCGCGCTCCTCGCGCTGCTGCCGCCGCGTCGCCGCCAGCTGCTGCTCCGCATCCTTGTCCCTGCAGGCACAGGGCGCCGGGTGACGACATGCCGGCCTTGATATTCGAGGGAGGGGGACCCCTTGGAACCTGTGCCGCCACACCAATCGCCCCCTCCAGCTCAGATGGAGCTCCCGCCCCACCTGAGCCGCATGTTGAGCGCGCCGCCAATCAGGCGGCGAGCCACTGCTGTCGACGTCGCGGGCCGCGGCTTGGGCGTCTGCAGCTCTGCAGGCGAGCGGGTGAGGAGAGGCAGGCAATGAAGCGTCCAGCCTGGGGCGCCCCAACCAGCTGGCACGCATGTGCCGCCTGCCTCGGCAGCGTCCCTGCATCGCCCGTCCCGCCAGCGCACCCCCTGGCTACCCCCCCCACCCCCCACCCACCACCACACACACATGCGTACCGCACCCGAGGCGGGCAGCTTGCGTGTGCCGCTGCCGGCATCTGCGTAGCCGCGCAACCTGAACTCTGCGTCCGTGCCTGCCGCCGTGGCTGCCCCCAGCAGCTGCCGCGCTGCCTGGGGGTCAGCACACACGACTGCGGCGTGGCAGTCGTCCACCCACCTGCAGCGGTAGCCAGCCAGCAGGGTGGACTGGGCGGTGCTGCTGGCTGGGCCTGTGCATGGCTGGCTGCTGGCACACCCAAGGCTGGTGCAGCGGCGTCAGGGCGCAGGAGCGGCGGCTTCTTGCAGCCAGCACCACCAAGCTCCTCGCCAGCAGCGGCCGATGCAGCAGCAGCAGCAGGCGCCCCTCACTTGAGCGTGGGCTGCACGGGGTGGCCGCCGCAGAAGCGCTCCAGGAACGCCTCCAGGTGCTGGGTGCGTACTGCAGGCGTCAAATCGTACAGCTCCAACACGTGGCCCCCGCCGAATGGGAGTGCATCTGCGGAGGCGCTGCCGCTGCTGCTGGCGGGGCCGCCGACGCCAAAGGTGCCTCCGCCGCAGGGAGCTGGCCGGCTGCGGGACGAGGCGGCGGCGGCTGCCGCTGCCGCCTCCCAGCCGTCCCCGTCGTCGCGTGACGCTGCTGCGGGGGCGGCGGGCTGCGGCGGTAGTGCGCTGGCCTCGTCCCAGGCTGCGGGGCATGTGGTGGGCGATCGTGTCTTGTTGGCGTGCCTCCCTCTGGCCCCTCTGTCCCTGTGCTACTGGCCTCGCATATAAATCGGCAAAGTGGTTAGGAAGAAAGTCAAGAGCACACCTTCCCAGCTGTCCGCTTCCGCCGAGTCGTCGGCGTCGGCGTCGGCGGTGCCGCCGGCTTGCCGCTGCTGCTGGGCCTCCAGGGCTTTCCTGAACAGCTGCTCCGCCCCTTCTGCATCTCCCTGCACGCAGCAGAAGCGTGGGCCAGGCAGCTGTGAGCGGGGCGCCGGAGAACACACGTGCAGATCGCGGCTGCGCTACCTCTTGAAGCTTCAGGGCTGCCAGGTCCGACAGCAGGGCCGCCTGGGGATCCCTCGCTTGAGCCGCCATGTCTCGGCACATGCACTTCACCTGGGTGCCTCCGTCGGTACTGATGCCGTAAAGCCACTTGGCTAGCTATCGGGTGGTTTGTGCGATAGAATTCTTGATACAGCGGGAGTTCCACATCGTGCACCGCTCGTACCTCCCTAAAGCAAAGGCTGCCCGTGCGCTCTTCTTAGCGCCTGTGTTTTCTTGTCTGGTGGTCATACACGATTGTTCCAACCCATCGCCCCGAATTGGGTTGAAGGCGGCGCCTGGTCTTTGTCGCCACCATGAACTTCGTCCAGCCTGCTCCGGTGGACCAGGTGCCTGACGGGCTCGCTGTGGAACCTGGCCAAGCAGACCAAGTCCTGAAGCAGTTCGTTGATCGATGCGTGGTGGACCTGGCTGCACGCGCAGGTAGGAGCTAACAACCCAGACGCCTGGGCAGGATATTTTGCAGCAGGCCGCCCCACTGCCGGTGAAGCTGGCTGCAATGCCGCCATGGCCGACGCTGCGCCAGCCAGTTCGCGCCCCTGGTGCAGGTGGCGGGGCCGGCCTCCCAAATGGTCAGCTGTTTACGGACCTTGTCAATACGGCTGGGTGGGCCATAGGCAAGTGCCCCGCCATTAGGGACACAATGTGGTGGTGGGTGGCTATGGAGGACGTTCAACGCCCCGGCGCCTGCTGCCTCTGCTCTGCCCCATGGTTGTCCAGGTGAACTTGAAGTGGCTGGTCGGCTGACGCAGGGCATCCTTCAGGTTGTGCAGCCTGCCGTGGGTCCCGCTGTGCAGCAGGCGATGCAGCAGGAGGGCATCCAGGAGACGGTGCAGCAGGCAGCGGGGCCCGCTGTGCAGCAGGCGGTACAGCAGGAGCTGCCGCAGGTGATGCAGGGGATCCAGCAGGGGCTGCTGGCGCTGCAGCAGGGGCAGCAGTTCCTTCTGCAAGCTGTGCAAGGGCTGCAGCAGGGGCAGCAGGGGCTGCAGCAGGGGCAGCAGGAGCTGCAGCAGGGGCAGCAGGAGCTGCAGCAGGGGCAGCAGGAGCTGCGGCAGGGGCAGCAGGAGCTGCAGCAGGGGCAGCAGGAGCTGCGGCAGATGCTAGTCGGCGCCCACAACCTTGCTGCTCGGGTGCACAACCGCGATGCGCGCGAGGACGGCCCGCTGCAGCCGCTGCGCAATGACGTGCATCATCCTGGAGCAGAGTTTGGGGCACTGCCTGCCGCTGGTGTATTTCCGCCGACGACAACTGCGCTGTGGATTGAGGTGGGAGGCGTGTTGGGGAGATGGTGGACTCTTTCAGGCGGGTTCTGGGCTGGCCTCTGCACGCACAGTGCATCGTCGCAGCCTGCCTGGGCCCTTGCCGCCACCCACGCCGGGAAGCTGGCTGGCCGCCATCCCCTTGCCGCGCCTTCAGTGGACTCATGCCCAGGTCGACACCCTGGCCGAGTTTTACGGTGTAGACTTTGGGCAGCAAGGAAGCATGCTGCGTAAGTCGGTCTGCGAGCGTTGCTGTCTTGGTGTGGCGTGGAGGAGGTGCTGCTGCACCATGCCTTACTGCTCGCACTTTTCAACCTGTGTTCGAGGTTGAAAGGCAGGTGCTGCTGGGCATTTTGAGCAGCGCAAACAACGACCTGCTCGCTGCTCTGACCCCACTCGTGAAGCTCAAGCCCTCTCTTACTTTGGCGCCCACAACTTCTGTGCAGTGCCCAACCGCAAGTCCCTCGTAAAAGCATTTATCAAGGGGCCGTGAGCTGCGCCAGAACGGCGCTGGCAATGGCAGAACGGCGGCAGTGGCAGAACGGCGCTGGCAATGCGCAGCCAGCCAACCGGGTGCAGGTGCACCACGGTGAATGGTCCTCTTCGGCCCCTGCACTCAGCACGCTGCAGCTGGCATGATCATGTCAGGCAGGCATACCTGCCTGGCAGCTTACAGTGGTGAACAGCCCTTTTTGCCGTGTGCATATGCCTTGCTTTATGTTATGTCTGCCGTTCCTCTGTGATACCGAGTGCTGAGCTTGCCGCTGATGACCTCTGCATGAGTCCTCTTGCTTTTTCTGCGATGCTTTCATACATGTAGTTGCCTCTGACCGTGCTCGAGGCTGTTTCCTTGATCCTGTTTGCTGTACAGCCTGCCCCAGTGGTTTTGATTACAACCCGCCCACGTGCTATACACCTCAGTTTTGCTTGTTGATTACGAGAGAAGCTGTGGGTAACGATGACAAGCGTAAAGAAGCTGGCGGTAGTATTGCCGCCTCATCCCAGGCAGCAATGCTGGAAGCAGCAGACACAGTGGCAGACGGGGAGGAGGGCTGTTGGCAGAGGTGCTCGCTTGCGACCTGGGCCCGGCATGCACCGAGAAGAGTGCATCGTTGCCATGCTGCTCGCCTGCCCCGCCTTGCCCTGCTGGGCCGTGTTGCATGCCCCCCCGGCATTCCGCCGCCGCTGAAAGAAGGCCCAGGCGCCATCGCTGTTGGGCCGTTGCTGCGAGCGCCCCCCAGTGATCAGGCTGATCACATCACATTCGCCCGAGAGGGAGAGCTCCTGAATTGCCTGGGGTGGGCAGGCTGCTTTGAGCAGACCTAATTCTAGTGCGATTGAGTCCTGGCTGCAGAGGGAGACATGCTGGCGGAAGGCATCGTCGGATCGAGTCGCTGCAGATGCAGAACTTGCCTGAATGCACCCAAGGCACATTGCGCCGCACGGCTGCGATTCTACATCTCTGGTCTTCAGCCGCAATAATGATGTGAACAACTGAAAACGAGGAAGATTGAAGCAGGCCTACGCCTCCCAGGTGGCATCCAGCGCCTTCTGCCGCTCCTCGCGCTCCTCGCGCTGCTGCCGCCGCGTCGCCGCCAGCTGCTGCTCCGCATCCTTGTCCCTGCAGGCACAGGGCACCGGGTCACGACATGCCGGCCCTGGTATTCGAGGGGGGGCGGGACCCCTTGGACTCTGTGCCGCCACACCAATCGCCCCCTCCAGCTCAGATGGAGCTCCCGCCCCACCTGAGCCGCATGTTGAGCGCGCCGCCAATCAGGCGGCGAGCCACTGCTGCCGATGTCGCGGGCCGCGGCTTGGGCGGCTGCAGCTCTGCGGGCGAGCGGGTGAGGAGAGGCAGGCAATGAAGCGTCCAGCCTGGGGCGCCCCAACCAGCTGGCACGCATGTGCCGCCTGCCTCGGCAGCGTCCCTGCATCGCCCGTCCCGCCAGCGCACCCCCTGGCTACCCCCCCACCCCCCACCCACCACCACACACACATGCGCACGCACCCGAGGCGGGCAGCTTGCGTGTGCCGCTGCCGGCATCTGCGTAGCCGCGCAACCTGAACTCTGCGTCCGCGCCTGCCGCCGTGGCTGCCCCCAGCAGCTGCCGCGCTGCCTGGGGGTCAGCACACACGACTGCGGCGTGGCAGTCGTCCACCCACCTGCAGCGGCAGCCAGCCAACAGGGTGGGGTGGGCGGTGCTGCTGGCTGGGCCTGTGCATGGCTGGCTGCTTGCACACCCAAGGCTGGTGCAGCGGCGTCAGCTCAGATCGGGCAGCATCAGGGCGCAGGAGCGGCGGCTTCTTGCAGCCAGCACCACCAAGCTCCTCGCCAGCAGCGGCCGACGCAGCAGCAGCAGCAGGCGGCCCTCACTTGAGCGTGGGCTGCACGGGGTGGCCGCCGCAGAAGCGCTCCAGGAACGCCTCCAGGTGCTGGGTGCGTACTGCAGGCGTCAAATCGTACAGCTCCAACACGTGGCCCCCGCCGAATGGGAGTGCACCGGCGGAGGCGCTGCCGCTGCTGCTGGCGGGGCCGCCGACGCCAAAGGTGCCTCCGCCGCCGCAGGGAGCTGGCCGGCTGCGGGACGAGGCGGCGGCGGCGGCCGCTGCCGCCTCCCAGCCGTCCCCGTCGTCGCGTGACGCTGCTGCGGGGGGGGCGGGCCGCGGCGGTAGTGCGGTGGCCTCGTCCCAGGCTGCGGGGCATGTGGTGGGCGGTCGTGCCTTGTTGGCGTGCCTCCCTCTGGCCCATCTGTCCCTGTGCTACTGGCCTCGCATATGAATCGGCAAAGTGGTTAGGAAGAAAGTCAAGAGCACACCTTCCCAGCTGTCCTCTTCCGCCGAGTCGTCGGCGTCGGCGTCGGCGGTGCCGCCGGCTTGCCGCTGCTGCTGGGCCTTCAGGGCTTTCCTGAACAGCTGCTCCGCCCCTTGTGCATCTCCCTGCACGCAGCAGAATCGTGGGCCAGGCAGATGTAAGCGGGGCGCCGGAGAACGCACGTGCAGATCGCGGCTGCGCTACCTCTTGAAGCTTCAGGGCTGCCAGGTCCGACAGCAGGGCCGCCTGGGGGTCCCCCGCTTGAGCCGCCATGTCTCGGCACATGCACTTCACCTGGGTGCCTCCGTCGGTACTGATGCCGTAAAGCCACTTGGCTAGCTATCGGGTGGTTTGTGCGATAGAATTCTTGATATAGCCGGCGGAAATTCCACGTATGCACAGCGGCCCCCCCATGCCCTGAAGCCCTCCCTTCAGATTCTTGCAAGGCCTTTACAGAGTAGTGAACTGTTCACCGCCCTCTGTGACTGAGTGTTCACACACGCGGCTGGTCAGGAAGCCGAGCCTACTGTGGCCCCTGCAAGCAGCAGCGCGCCGCGGCCGTGCAGGTGTGGATGCAGGGAATTCAGTGCTGCCGCGCCTGCAGCCTGCTGTCTCGCCCGCTGGTCAGCAACCACCTCTGCACCCGCCCGTGCAGAGCTTGCTCTAACGCCCTCGCAGCTCAATTGTGCGAGTCTGATTGTCCGACTTTGGCCGCTGCACTGTGCAGCGCGCAGCGCTGCCCCCCTGCTGCGCCGCCGACCCGTGCCGCCGACCCGCCGCCGCGGGCGCGAGCTCTGGCGCCGCCTGCACCCGACAAATGCTCCTTTGTGCATGCCCGCTGTGCGTGCAGGCTCGCGGCAGTTGGGCGGCAGCTCCAGCCGACTTCCATCTGACCGAGTTCTCTCGCCTGCCCGCTCACTATTGGCGGCATGGCGCGCAGCCGCGAGCGGCCCGTGGTCGCATGGATGCTGCGCAGCTTCCTGCTGCTCAACTTCCTCAGCGCCGTTGGCTTCATCGCCTATGCCTTCATCCTGCAGAACCCGCCCAAGACCGCGCTGCCGCTGTGAGTGCTGGCAGGCCAGCCCCAGGAGCTGACACGGGCACAGGCTGCCGGTGTTCTTCTGTCCTCTTGGCCCTCAAGCCGCTGCCGCTGCCGCTGCTGCCGCGCCAGCGCCTGCGCTCCCGCCCACCTCCTCCACTGCCTTGCCCGCCACCCTCGGTTGTGGCGCTTGCAGGGGCCTGCTGATTGTGGGTGTGTGTGCGCTGGTGGCGGTGCTGGTGGGCCTGGTCGGCTCCCTGCGAATCAACTGCTGCCTCACGCTCTACCTCTACCTGGGCAGCCTGATCACCCTAGGTGCGCACCTGCCAGCACATTGCAAGCATCTGGCAGCCCTCGGCGCAGCTGCCTCACCCCCTGCTGCCATCAACCACGCCGAACACGTTTCTGCACCTGAACCACGCTTCACGCCACCATGCCTGCTTGCCGTGCAGCCGAGCTGGGCCTCACGCTGAGCATGTTTTTCAACTACGGCAACACCGTGGACGACCTGGTCAAGTATGAGCAGGAGAACGATCCAGACTTCACGCAGGCAGAGTGAGCGCGCTGCGGGAGATGACCGGGGTTCTGGGGTGGGGGGGCTGGCTGGGGCGGCGGCGGTGGCTCGTATCGGGCGGTGGGTGTACGTGCGGGCAGGAGAGTGGCCCAGCCTACCAACCGCAGCTCGTGGTTGGGGCGTGAGGGAGCTGCACAGTCGCAGACGGAACTGGCCAGGCCAGGTGCATTGGCGACCGGGAGGCTGAGGCTGAGGCGCCCGCCCTGTACCACCTTCCCTCCCCACCGCACCCTGTTGGCTACAGCAAGCAGGAGCTGAAGGACAAGGTGGCGGGAGGGCGCTGGTTCTTCCTGGTCGTCTGCATCCTGCAGGTGCGGTACAGGGCAGTACAGGCAACACTGGACTGTGCTGCTGCTGCTGTGCGGCACGGCCGCCAGGCGCTTGTTTGCCTGCCTGCGCTGCCAGTGCACGCCGCCCCAGCCCTGCCGCTGCTCCCCACTGCCTGCCGCGCCCACCACCTCCTCCCTCCCTCCTGGCTTGTTGCTGCTGCCTCTATCCGTCCCTGCAGTTCATCAGCGTGCTGGTGGCGGTAGTGCTGCGCGTGTGCGTGTACCCTCGAGAGCGGGACTTTGAGAACTTTGACGAGGGGGGCGAGGCGGATGCACGGCCCTCCAGCTCGCAGATACAGGCGCGCCGCGCCGCCTGCCGCTGTGGTTTAGTTTGTTTTGTCCGCTGTTTGTCGGAGGACAAGGAACAACCTGCTGGAACCTGTGCTGCCGCTGTCTTCCTGGCTGGGCTGCCCCCGCCCCGTGTGGCTGGCAGGGATGCGGTACCGTGGCTAGCACCGCAGCCCCATGATCATGTTGTGGCGCAGGCGCCACGCCACAACCACACTGACCCGCACCCGCACACCAAATGGCCTGCCTCCCGCAGATGCAGAAGCTGCAGCAGAGCGTGTCTGGGCGGTCCCCTGGGAGCGGCTCCCTGCCCAGCCCGGGTGCCGCCTCCTATGCCTCCTCCAAACTCTACAAGTCCACCACAGGTGGGTGGGTGCGCCGCATGGCTCACTACATTTCTATCGCTGTTTAGGTGCTGGGTGCAGGCCTCGGCGAGGGGTCGGCAGCCCTTGCTGGCGAGACCGCGCAGCCGTGGGGAGGGGCACTGGGAGAGGCAGGCCCGTGAGTCGCCCCACAACTTACGCCTCGCCCCGTCCTTTGTTGCAGCCAAGATGGCGGCCAAATACGGGGACTATGCCCAGGACTCGGAGTTCCAGCAGAAGAAAGGGTGGTTTGGACGGAAGTGAGCAGGAGGCGCCGCCACCTCAGCAAAACACTCGCGGCGCAGGCACAGCGGAACCGACAGCGACGAGCTCGCTGTGGCAGCATGCCTCATGGTCACGCCTGGGATGCGGCCCTGTCCTCCCGTCCTGCCCACCGCAACAAATGAGATGCAGCTTATTTCATTGATTCCCACGCTGGCTCGGGTCTTCTGGGCACGCCGGGTGCCCAACGGTGGCTCAAAGAGCACCGCCACGGTGCCGCTACGAGGTGTGCACGTCTGTCAAAAAGCGCTCCGTTGATGTAAATTATTTGACTCGGTACGGCCGAAAATTTGGAGCCGGAAGCCCGCTGTGTGGCTTGAGCGCTGGCACCTAAAGCAGGCGGTGCAGCAGTGGCCGGTCGACCGCGGCGGCGGCCACCCATCTGTTGTCGCCTCCGCCGCCCTAGCAGCACAAGGACGCTTAACGTCATTGCAACGGCTCTGATCTCGAATTGGCCCATTAGCGCCGGCTTGTCAACAAGATGGACGACCGCAAGCTGCTCAACTTTCCCAACCGGCCATTGCCTCCCGATATGTTCTTCCCAATCCATTCAATCCATCCTACATGACGCAGGAGTTGGAGCTCCCACATTCCCACACCTGCTCCATCCGTAGCTCATGGCCCAGCGCCTGTTATTAGCAACGCCTGTACGCTCCCTTTTTGCCAGGAGGGCGCCTGGCTCGCGGCACACCCGCTGGTGCGCGCCGCTAGGTGGGCGGGCGGCGGGCGGAGAGTCGCCGCCCCCTGCCAGCACGCCGCAGCGGCGTTCTTCTGCAGTGATGACTGAACCGCTGCCCAGAAACGACTATGAGGCGTTCATCCCTGGCCTCTTGCACTGGGTTTCCTATTGCAACAACGGAGCTGAGGCAGCCAAAGAGGTCTTGCCGCTAACGGTCGCTGGCGCAACCGTGGGTTATGTGAGGCCTGAGTTTGCAAAGCGACACTTGCAGCAATTCCCGGATGTCTTCCAGGCCAGCTCCAGCGGCAGCATCCAGGTGCACCCCCAGCTGGCCACCCAGCAGGCGCGCACGGCAGCCATCGCGGCAGTCCTGGAGCAGCTGCGAGAAGAAGGCGTGATAGACGGCTGGCGCAACGAGCTGTACCCCGCGGTGCAGTCCTTTCATGACGAGCCGGCCTTTCTGCTGGAGCGGGCGGCTGCGCCACACTTTGGCATCAAAGCATATGGTGAGGGTGGGGTGGGGGTGCATCGCCCGAATTGCCGAGGATTGTAAGATTGTGCAAGCCATGACATTGCGCCATGCGCCGCCAGCAGGCGTGCACATCAACGGCTATGTGAGGCTTCCCGACGGCGGCCTGGAGCTGTGGGTGGCGCGGCGCAGCCGCACGAAACCGACGTGGTGGGTTGCATTGGAGGTGCCCTGCCAGCCTTAGCCAAACCATGGATTCCAGCCTGCCAGGCATGCGCCAGGAGTTGCGGCACCCACTCAGCAGCAGCTGCCGCTGCCCTGCAGGCCTGGGAAACTCGACCACATTGCTGCCGGCGGGCAGCCGCATGGCCTGAGGTGGGCGCAGTGCTTGCTGCCAAGGTGCATGTCTGCCAAGCGTGCAACTTACCAGTCACAGGATGCCTGACCCCCATGACAAAGTTCCACCATCACCATGCAGCTGCCAGGAAAATGTGGTCAAGGAGTGCCAGGAGGAGGCCAGCATCCCGCCCGAGCTTGCAGCCAAGGCCATCGCGACAGGGGCAGTCAGCTACACTTCGCTGCAGGTGCACCTCCAAAGGCTGCATCGCAGTGCCGGTCTTGGACCTGCAGCTGTGCCAGGCCCTGCTGCTGACCTTTGTTGCCCCTCACAAGTGTAGCCTGGCATTTGCCTGCAGGCGGCAGGACTGAAGCGTGACGTGCTCTTTTGCTACGACCTGGAGCTCCCGCTAGACTTTGTGCCGCACCCACAGGTAGAGTGTAGTGCCTGAAAAGCATTGCTGACAGCTTGTAGGATTTGCTCACAGGCCCCGCCCCGCTTCTTGGCAGGACGGAGAGGTGGAGGAGTTCATGAGGCTGCCGATACACAGAGTGGCAGAGCTGATAACCACCACAGATGAGTTCAAGGAGAACTGCACTCTGGTCATCTGCACCTTCCTCATTCGGCACGGCTTTCTCACTCCAGACATGCCGGGATATTTGCACCTGCTTCGGCGCCTTACAAGCGGGGATTGCAGTTGACATCGGCCTTGTGAACTCATCCCACTCAACTAACATCACCTCCCCGCCTGGCGAGGCTGGAAGAACAGTTGATTCCCAACGTTGGGGCGGCCGCCCGCGGTGGAGCAGGAGAGCGCTGCATGCGCAGTGGCCATTGCTCCCGTTGGCATTCCTCTCCGCCACTGCAGCAGTGCCCTTGTCTCCCAATGGCGCTGCTGATTCCAGTGCCAGCATCCATGCTGCCGCCAACTGGGCTGCCCATCCCTCCCAGGCCAGTGCTGCTCGCCAGGCGGCTGCCAGGCTTCCCACCTGCTTCCAGCGGCGCGGGCGCAGTGCCACCCCTGGCGGTGCCCAGCTCCCTGCTCCGCGTCGCCAAGGCTCAGCCCGCCAGCGCTGCGGGTGCCCCTTCTGCGCCACATGCAGCACGACTTGGTCCTGCGGGTTCCTCAGCTGTGGCGGGCCAGGGATGCGGGGGGCACAGCAGGCATGCAGGCGGGGGCAAGGGGGTTTGGGGAAAGAGGGGTAGGGTTGCTTGAGCCGACGCAGCATGCGGCGCAGCACACACTTCATGCCACCGGCAGGAACGGGGAGGGAGGGCAGCCACCCACCCCCACCAGCCCCGCACCTGTGCCAGCAGGTAGCGGCGGCATGCCTCCAGGATGCCGATGCAGGCAGGCAGGGCGCCGCCAGGCCATGTCACTCGCAGTAGCAGACGGCTCGGCCTGCTGGCCCTGCAGAAGGAGCAGGCCTTTCCCTCACTCTGTACAGCACTGGAACCAGCTCTTCTGCAATACGCTCTGCGTGTTGCCACAGAAGCCTTCAAAGGTGTGAGCGTACGGTTAGCACCAGATTCGGCCAGCCGACGCAGCTCCAAGAGGCGCTGGCGAAGTCGGCGCCAGCCGGCTAGCTAGGATCTATAGAGCATCATGTGCACAACGTGGTAGGCACCCTCAACCTGGCGCCCACCATGTTTGGGCAGCGCGAGACCTACCTTGAATGCAGTACGGTGTCGTCAGGACCGCGAGGCACTGGTGCACCTGCGCACCGGGCCGCATTGGGGCGCTGAAGAGACCGGGCGCTTGCTTGTGCTTGTGTGGGCTTAAAGTCTGGTAAAGCAAGAACTAGCTTGCAACATAGACTCCCCGCCGAAACGGGACGGGAACCGGGCGAAAGCAGAGAAAGCAATAAAACAGGGGTGGAGCAAGGCGACATGCAACGCAAGCAGCTGACAGGGCACGCATCGAAACGTGTGTATGACTGGCAAAGTGGCATGGCGCATTGGGGAGAAACGCAACGGTACGGGAGCATGGGCTGGCCAAACGGCAGTGCGGAACGCTAGGTCACTAGAAAAGCAGGGAAAGGCGCACTATGTATGCAATGAGGGCAGCCCCGGCTCGGGGCCGTTGAGAAAGCAGTGGGCGGGAGGGGGGAGGCCCCGGTGTGGGCGGGCCCCATCGAGGGGGGATGGGGCGCGCA